GTCTAATACAACTGTAATTTTATACATTTCTTGTGAAAGAAACATTTCTTATTCAACGGCCATAAAAATTATTTATATTAATGATGTCTCCAAAGTTCAACGAAATTTTCGCAGAAAAATAACATCAGAAATCGCGGCCGCCATTTGGAGTGCTGCTCCACGACGAACACAAGCTTTAGCAATGGCGACGTCGAACGGTGCACACTCGGTAAGTAATCCTACAATTTTTTGTTTATAGCATAGTTTATACGGATTATTACCAAAAAAATTATACATATTTAGGAAATGTTGAGTCGAATTAGTCTAGAATCGATTAATTTTATGGAAGAAAACCTTTCAAACAGCCGTAGTCCATAAACTTCACACGTGTCAGGCTGTGATTAGCAAGGACTTGTACAAAATTGATTCATAAAGAATGGAACGTATCTACCGTTTTATAGGGGGAGTTGACTGTATAATGTTTTTCTTTTCATTACTAGTCCATTTTCCATTTAACAAATTTTCTACATAATAAATTCCCCCACGTTTCCCAAAGAAATTTCTTTATAAGAAAGGTCAACCATAATCTTAAATAAAAAGTAATATCTATACTAGCTGTATCTCTATTTTTAACCCCTTAAGCCCATAACCCGAGATATCTCGGGCAAGTTACATAACGTTACATAAAATGAGGTCCTTAAGGCCATTTTTGAAAAATTTTTNGTGCACCTGGAACGGATTAAGTACGTTGTATGAGGCACCACTGTACATAAAAATAAAAAACTTACTTGTAATTAGAATGAACAAAAAAGTACTTGTAATTAGAATGAACAAACTTTTGAGAAAAAACATACTTGCTCAATTTATATAGATTAAATATTAAATCAGAAAATAAACTAACAATGAAAAGAAAATTATTTACCAAAATTACAATTTTGGGAATCTGGCGTTATGCTTTCTAATTCAATTATTTTTTGTAGGTCACATATACTCATCTGTGCAGTTAATTCTCCAGTTTGATCTCCAATCTGCAAAAGTAATAAAACATTTTCATTTTAAATTCTTTTTTAAAATGTCTTAATAACAACACAAATCAGCATCTTATTTTTTTCAATCTTTTTAAACTATTGATATTTAATAATTAGGAAAATTTTTTCTCAAAATACAATGATTATTTGGATTAAATTTCATTTTTCAAGATTTTTTATAGGTTTTTATAGGTATAGATTTCAAGGTTTTAAATAATTTCTGAACTTCAAATACTTGTTATTTTGTAAAATTTGATTAAAATAACAGATCTAAAATAAATTCATTTCATAAATTCTAATCTATTTTTTTTTTCATAAATAATTCAATTGACTTCTGAACAAAATACAAGACATATTTTACTTGTCTTCAGTAGGTAGCAAAAACATGTTGAACTTTCCACATAAGCAAGTTTGACTCAGATTTCTAATACAATGATTATTCTCTGTATCCTGTAGGATGACAGACTTTATAAAATGATATTTCTTGATGACTTTATAATGATATAAAATGATGACAGAGAATCTTTTGTATAAGGATTACATTAAATTTTACATTAATATTATTATTATTGTTATGTTGGGTTTAGTAGGTTATACTCAGTTGACACCAGTTACTGTGTACTATGCCAGAACAGAGTCAAGGCATAGCAACCAAAACAAGACAAAAAAAATTAAATGTGTCATGTATCTGTATTCAGGAATTTTCTAACAATATGACATTTATTCAATATAGTGGCCTTCTGTAGTGTGATGTATGTGTTCTTATTCAACTGTAATGTTCACAAACTTTTTTGTAGTGTGTGTATGGTATGACACCCGTAGAGGAGAGAATGACAGGTGCCATAAACACCCTATCCATTCTCCATAGATGCCTTATTTCCTGGGCGAGTTCTGTGTACTTGCTGATATATTTCAGTGTGTGTGTTTTGTACATTATAGAGTGTATTATAATTTGACTATTTAGTTTTGATCTAAGACAAGTCCAGATCTGAAATTAAGATAAATCTCACATTAAAACACTAATTCTGTTTAATCTTTGTGTAATTTAACAGAATTTTATATAAACTATAAAAAGATTTAGATAACTTCAAAAATATACTCAAAATGTTTTAAATTCTCAAAGAAAATGGAATTCTTAGCTTCAATCATTAATTATTATTTAATTAATTTTATTACATCAATATAAAACAAAAAAGTCATTAAATGAACTTCAGGAAAATTAAAATTTATCATCACACAAAGATATTTAATGAAATTAACACTTACTTCTTTGGATATTTCCAAATGTTTTTTAGCATATTTTAAAGCTTTGTGATGACTTCTGATTGCAGAATGTGCATTACCAAGACTCCAATATGCTCTTCCTTCTCCAATTCTATCTCTAAGTTCTTGTGCAATTCTTAAATGTCTTAAATGATATTCAATAGCTTTGGCATAATCATGAAGAAGAGTGTAAGTGTTTCCCAAGCTGTAACAAGCTTGAGCTTCAACTGCCTTATCCCCTAATTCCTCAGCAAAAGCTAATGTCTTTCTATATAGAAAAAAATAATTTATATATATTAATAATTTAGTGAAATGTTTAAGTATTGTTCTTTAATCATATTTTTTACAATTTATTTAAAAAACTATATGTTTTAGTCAGAAATTAATATGCAACATCTGTAATTAAAAATTAAATATCATTTTTAATATTTATTAACTTAAAAAAATAATAATAATTTCAAATGATATAATGAATAATGTGCAAAACTGCTAAAAACAATTCATAATAAATAAGAAAAGAATATTTTAAAACCACTACAACTCATTTTATCAAACTTTTAAAGACAACTTATAAATATTTTTATAACAACATATTAACAGTAAATCAATTTCAAAAAGCAAATGATACACATTTATTCTTTCGTAAGGTGACAAATAAAAAATATACAATAATTTATTTGTAATATAACTGAACCATGTTAACATGAATAGTTGCAATGACTGCAACTATTCAAGTGATACAAATAAACTTTAAATGCAAAAAACTTATTGCATTAAAAGTTTATTTATGTTATAAATCATGTTTGTTGCTGTTTTTTGGCACAAGAGCCATATAGGCTAAGCTGTGCCATGTCAAGATCATATGCATAAAAAATTATGATAAAAATGAAAAAAATACTCCCAATTATCTGTGTGCAGTTTTGTGATTATCCATGCATCATCAAAATATTAGAATTACTGTAAAACAACAAAATATCATAAGCAACGTTCAACTTTTCTCCCTCAACTGTCAATTCTAAAGAACAGAAAGTGAGGTGAGTCATTAGCACTGGATTATTATTTTGCAGTAAGCAAAGTTGAGTGAGAGTGAGACCTTGACTCATCAGTGTAGTGTTTATGACAATAGTATATAAATGTTCATCAAAAACCTAAGAAACTATCTAAAATGTCCATGGCAGTTGACTTCAATTTACATACAAAACTTGAGAAATTTGATAAAATACATATGGAGGGTAATCATACTTATATGCTAAACAGCAGATTTGAAAAAATATCCTACTATTACTAAAATTAAAATATAGTAATTTGGAAAATATTTAAGAATTATATACAGAAATTAAAATTTAATTTCTACACATTATTTTTGTAAATAGAAGAAATCTACATTTTATGTTTATTGACTAAATATACATCTCAGCTTATGAAACTTGGGATTCACACTCGAATCTCATTATAACGGAAATGATTTTAGATTATATGTGTTTTTCATTCACACCTGTGCATTAACTAGCACAGATAATTGAGAGTTCCATGTATGAGGTCTGTTCAAAAAGTTCCCAAACTTTTTGAATAGCATGCCTCCAGTTGGTTATTTTTTAATTCGCTTGAAAGTGTTGCGTCCACAGAAACCTCCCGAGTAACCTCCTTCAATCCGTTTGTTGATATCTTGTTTTGGTAATTAGTTATGGCCGTTTATGTGAAGGGGTGTTTGTGGGATTCAGTGAAAAAATTGGATCCGCAGAAATGTTCTTTGAAGAAACAGTGTTGTTCTGTGAAATTCTGTGTGAAACTCGGGAAATCCTTCACGGAAACTTCCCATGGGTGGGTGAAACATCCCCCACCCCAAAAAAGCTTGACAAGTTCACTCAAATGTTAAGATGATGTTGACTGTTTTTTTGATGCAATGGGGGTTGTGCATCATGAATACCTACCTACAGGCCAGACAGTCAACACAGTACTACCTGGGGGTTATGAAATGCCTAACAGACAGAATCAGGTAAAAACAGCCCAAACTCTGGAAGAGCAACAAGTGGTTTCTTTAATCATGACAACGGGCCAGCTCATTTATCCCTCAGAATTTGTGAGTTTTTGGTGAAAAACAAGACTGCTGCGCTTTTCTACTCACCTGACCTGGCCCCAAGCAACTTTTTCCTGTACCCCAAACTAAAAAACCTGCTCAAAGGAAAAAGATTTGCCACCATTCCTGAGATACAGAAAAATTCAATGGAGGAGCTTATGAGCATTCTGGAAAAAGTGTTCCAGGACATTTCAAAAAGTAGAAATACCATTGGGATAAGTGTATACATTGGGGAGGAGACTACTTTGAAGGGGACCCTGATCAATAAATTGTAAGTGAAGTATTTTTTCTGTAATAAATAAAGTTCGGGAACTTTTTGAACAGACCTCATATCTTGGCTTCACCAGAACTTATTGACATTATTAGCCAAAAAACTTCATAATTATTTAACCACTATTACAATTTCATATTTTTTGATTTTCATATCTGCTTTTTGGCAGGGTCAAACTAGTGCATGAAAGCTATTTCAATTGTTTTTTCTTTTTTAATTGTTGATAACTTACATTTTTATCATCACTTCTGTTTTTTTTACTTGTCATCATTTACTTGTTCAAACTGTATAATATTTTTCTAAAGACAAATCTTGTTGAGCTTTATAATTTACTTTGTACAAGAGATAAAATAGACACTGCAATGGACATTAGCTGTGATATTACACTCAGATAATAAAAAAAATACCGTAGATATTACAATCAGATAATTAATAAAAATTGTAAACTTTTTTAAAAGTAAATTTCCTAAAAAATAACACAATGTTGAAAAGAATGAGGTAAAGACAAAAGATTGCAAGTTGTCAAAATGTGTAAGAACTATGCAAAATTTATAAAACAAGATTGTGTAAAATGACACCCAATTTGCAATGTTTTTGCCCACTATCTTAATAATAACTATAAAACAAACCAAGTTCAGACATCTTTTCTATGGTGAAAAGATTCATGCCTTAAAAGAACAGAGATTAAAATGAGTCTTGTATCAACTGAAAATCAAAAGGTTACCTCCAGTCAAAGTAGTCTTTCTGTTATCCTATACTGGTGTACTTTAAATAATGCAACCATAAGATCTGATTCTTTACTGTAATCTCTAACTAGTGCATAGAAGAATTGAGAAAATTCAAAAATTAAGTTTTAGTTTGGATTAAAAGAAGGAATTTTTCTGTGGATGTTGATCATCAGTTGGTTTTAAGCAGAATTTTGCACTAAATGTGTTCATATTAAAACAATGATATTGCAATACATATTGAATTTGATAACTGAGCTCTGGAAAACCCAGGATTGAATACAGATGGTCAAAAAACTCCACAAATTTTTTAGGTGGTGGTCTGTTCCAGATATGTTGAGCCCCTTTACTGCCCAGCTACTTCCAGCGTGGGCCTGGTCAAATTTTTGACAAAACACAGAAGTTATTAAAGTTCTAAAAACAATGAAAAAAAATTGTGCCACACTCACACACACTACCATCCATACATGCAGAAAAAACCTCAGAATTTTTTGCATTTCTTGATGTTTCAAGGTACTGAGTCCAACAATGTAAAAATCTTGGGAAGTAATTTTTTGGCCAATTGCCATACTTTCCCATTGTTATATATAAATCAGAGGGAAAGTATGGGGAAAAGTATAGGAAAAAAGGAAAAAATTGAACCGTAACTAAATTTTTATACAATATTTTGCAGTTTCAACTCTTAAAATATATTAATAATCAGACTCCAAAAACATTTTTGTCAAATGAAAAACAGAAACAGTATCCATAGCAATAATCTCCAACAAAAATACATGCAAAGAAAATTAATTCAAGAACTTACAAAATTTTATTAAGAAAAAGGAGTTTACTTGTTAAAACTATAAGATAATCCAAAAATTTTTGAATTTATACTTACTTATAATGATCAGCTGCTGTTTCAAATTCTCCTAAAAATATGTGAGCATTACCAAGATTGCTATGTGCTCTTCGTTCACCAGATTTATCTCCAAACTCTCTAGCAATTTTCAACCTCTAATTTGAAACAAAAATAAAAAATGTAAGTACCTAAAATTTAACTGTTTTCTTATAATACCACAAAAATATGAAATACTGTATTTCCTGAAATTAGTACCTGGGCAATTAACTTATAAAAAAAATTGTAAATGCTAATAATGAGAGAAATTTTAAGTCCAAACCCACTCAAGATATGACACACAATCCTCCTCTATCCGCCAAACCCCTTGACCTTTAACCACCAAAATTTAATAGCATCAGTCCCCCTAATACACAAACCTCCCTGTAAAATCTCAGAAATTTTCAATGAAAGTCATAGGAATCATTAAATTGTGCCTACCCCACACACACTAACATCCATACATATAGAAAAACTCCCAACTTTTTTTTTTTTTTTTTTTGCATTTCTTGACATTTCAAGATCCTGAGTCCAAAAATGTAAACTCTTGGGCGGTCATTTTTTGACCAATTGTCATATTTACCCTGTTCTACATAACAGCTAGGAAAGTAAAAGGATGAAATTATTATAATTATTGTTGTTTTACTCATAAAAAATTATAATTACTATTTTCAAAAATTTATTTTATACAAATCTCCATTTCTCATTAAAAAAGTAAAAAAAATTGTATGAAATATTTTATAATTAATGTATGGCCTGATTATTTCACTACTTGCTAGATGATCTCTGGAACATACATTATATTATATTTATATTTGAAAAGCAAAATATTCAACAAGAGAAAAATATTTCCATGCACACAAAGCTATAACTACTTAAAATAAGAGAGACAAACCTTTGTAATCAACAATGATATCACTAGTAAGAAAAACAATGACGTCATTTCAATATTTGCTAACCAATGTTCCAACCAACCTTATTGTATCTGAAGAAGGCCATTCAAAATGGCTGAAAATGTTTGTTCTTATGGATTAAAACTGCTAGAAACAAAGTGTGAAAGTTTTGTCTCTCTTATAACAGAAAAATACTTCACATGACCAGCGTTTTACAAACTCCCCCCCCATTCCCCCGACACAACTGTTTATAATATAGAATTTTTTTTAAAAAATCTAGCAAACTGGAGTCACTGTTCAGTTCTGCCTCCAGTGTTCCTGTCACCCCCTTCCTTCTTTTCACCTCTTTAGATTTATTCACTGCCCATGAGGAGCAGTAACACCCAATTTGGAAACCACTGTCTTAACCCTTTATAGCCCGAATTTTCATTTTTTGATAAAAAATTTTTCTTCTTCTTATTATATCATCAGAAGAGATGTTTGTTCACAGATAAGTAAATAAAAAAAAATTAAAATGTAAATTAAAAATTTTTTAATTATGGGACTTAAAAGTCCCGTCAGGCTTTTAGAGCACATTTGGACTTAACAAGTTTTTTCTTGTTTAATATTTCGAAAATAAAATAACTTTGTTTTATATAAAGATCTTTTATCATAGATATTTGCAAATTAAATGCATAATTATATATATTAAGTATTTGTTAACTTTTACTGTATAATAAGGTCAAAATATGAAAAAAAATTAAAATGCATGACAAAACTAAAATAAAATTTATTGGTTTAATAATTTATGATTAGTAAAGATGTAAAAAGCTATTTTTTTCCCATTTACACACAAGAAAACTTTACGTAATGTGCATTTTGTATATGGCTTTGATGTGTATCAATATCAAATGAAATTTTTTTTTATATAAAATTATCTATTTATATATATATAAGTCTTATATGTATATTAACTATAAAAATGTTAAACAAATTCATAAATTTATAAAGCACAATGTAGAAAATACAAATTTCTAACATTTACAAAAAAGATTCCCTCAGGCCTGACGGGACTTATAAGTCCCAAACATATTTTGACTTCATACAGCTTGCAAACCATTAATTCTACAAACATAATACATTAAAATCAAACTACACATATCTAGAATACATGTTAAAAAATACAAAGACATTTAACTTGAAAACATTAAGTAGAATTTGGCAACAAAGAAAGCTACTATCATATAGTATCAGCTACTACCATTCAGACAACACACAATGTGAAACTTTTTTCAACAAAACTAAAACAGGAACAGTTTGAAAGTTACTACCCTATAGAAGAAAAAAAGAACACTTTATACAATGATAAAATGTAAGTCCCAGAAAGCTATAATGCATACACTATGAAATAAAAAAAATCAAAGATAGTGGGACTAGAAAGTCCCGTCAGGCCATACAGGGTTAAACCATCAATCCAATTTACCAAAAGGTTTTGAAATTTGTTTGTTATACAATGTAACAAACATACCCCAATATTTGTATACTTCACTTGTCTGAGATTGTTAGTTGTTCAATAAAGGGGGAAGTTTGTTATAGGAAGAATTCAGAATTAGGGAATTTCCTATACATTTTACATGCATTTATATATAAATGTTTTTATTTATAATTATATCTATATATTTTATTTCTTTTACTTTTTAGAAAAATTGAAGTATTTGTTTAGCATGTTTCACATTATTTCCTTACATTTTATCCACAAGTTATTATTATTCAAGGGGAGAAAAATCAGACATTTTTTAATGCATTTAGTTATATCAAAGGTTAAAGAATTACCCTTGAATATAATATATAAATTCAAAGGTAATTTTTCAACCTTTGATGACTTTGAAAAAAGATTCCAGAAACACCAGGATGCAGACAAAACATTCCAATTTTCAACGCCAGTGTTGAGTGTTGAAGTCAACAATCTGATGTCATCAACGACGTTCCAACTCGAGTACAAAGTGCATAGTTCCCATAATTCCATCCTCAGCAAAATGGATCCATTCAAATGTCTTACCAATTACCCACAATTCATTGGAAAGTAGCAGTCAACATATCTGTTGAGTGCTGAGTGTGTTGAGTCAGCGCTGACAACAGCGCTACCTCAACGTTGAAAAAAGGAACAAATTTTAACAAATGATGAGATCAGCGCTGAGTCAGCGTTGAAAATTGGAATGTCCCGAGTCTGGACAGCATCGTAGTAACCAAAGATTGTAGCAATGTTGTCATGTGTGCCACATGATGTTGGCAATATTGGAATGTCATCCTTACCTTGGACACTATAAAGGACATTAAAATCTTTTTTTGCTAATTATTATTGAATGGCTGGTTATCTACACCTAATAATTTGTGTGTACACTCAGGAAATCCCACTACAAACTGCAAAAGTTTGGTTCAAGTCTGTTTCCCACCAAGCACACACTACTTGTTAGTAATATTTAAATTCAAAATTTAAAAGGCTTAATTTTACCATACAAGATCTATGATTCAAATAAAACTATTAATATGTTTTTTCAACTGGATTATAGGATGCTTAAATATAATGAATTTTTGATATAAAAAACATTTCTCAATACAATTACCTCTTCATGATAAACAATAGCTTGTTCAAAATTTCCTAGAAGATAATGAGTATTTCCTAAATTACCACTAGCTCTTCCTTGTGCTGATCTATCACCCAATTCTATCATCAACTTCAAATTTTCCCTGACAAAAAACAATAATAATTTTAATTAAGCAATTAAGTTACTTGATAGCATTTTAACTATAAAATGCTCATTTCAAAATCAACATTTATAGTAGCATCTAAAATATAACAGTTAATTTGTCATAGATTACATATAATTCATAACAGAAAATGAGATGTTCTATAATAAATTGCAATTTTTTCTGAGATTTTCATTCTCACCTTCAATTCAACTACAATACACACAGTTTTTAGAATAGCTTTAAGACATTTTAGAGTGAATTTTAAAAACCATTCAAAAATACTGAACTTCAAAAGAATTTTATAAGACCAAAGAATATTTTAAAGCTTTTCTAAAATATTGTTAGCTTTGAACTGAAGATAAAAATAAAAACCTCAACATTTGTTGCCATAAATTATATGATTTTTGTGACAGACTACAGTATTTTATCTTAACATGAAATCATCAACATAGATGAGATCAATGCTGGGTTGAATTTATCTTTAATGAATATATTTTATAAGTATATTCACAAAATTAAAATCACAGGATCATTTTCAAAAAATAAATGAAATACACAAAACACTAATGAAATTTGATTTGGTTAAAAAATCACAAATTTAAATCAACATAAATATGTACAGTACATTGCAATAAATTAAGTAAAAGTAAAATTATAAAGAAGAAAAACCTAAATATTTATCTTAATATTATATTTTCTACAGCAGTTTTTTTCCCCTATTATACTAACATAGGGTGCCTGAGAAGTAATGTCATGGCGTTCTAATATGAACTTTGTTTTCCCATCTCACCATTCATGGCAAAACATTTGTAAAGCATTTGTATTTGTAAAAATTATTATTACATATAATATTAAGTCATAATTTGGTAAATCATGATTGTAAGTAAGAACAGGGATTGAGATACAATATCATCAATTAACAGAGATAACAGAAAATATGAGTATAATCTCTTTATCAAACCACTTTCACAAAGAATTATTGATTATAATATAGTTTATTACAAGTTCTTACCACAATATGTGCAAGACTTAGTTTTGAACAATTCTGGAGAGGAGTATTAAGTTTCAATACATGTCTATATATCAGTCCCTACATGCTCTATTAACTTCAACTCGAGATCTCACTGGCCAATCTAATGTTTTAAATATGATCAAGAAAAATTGATAATTAGTATTCTATACAGATGAAGATTTTCATCCATAAAAAGAAATTGAACTCTCTAATATTCTAGAAAAGTATTACAGAGATTTTGAAAGTCTTATTTCTATAGTCAGAGTATTTTATATAAAACACTAGTGTCATTCAACATTATATCACAACACATTAGTTCATTTTTATCATCAAAGTTATCTCTTAATCCTTAGGATAATCAAAAAGACATTCTATGGTGGAGAATTGATAAATGTGAATATCATCATCTCTAAATGATAATACAAGAACAATAAATCTGTAAACTGAATTATCTTAAAAAAGAATTCTGATCCACTTCATTAAGCTCAAACAGTAGAGACTGTGCCAGTTGAAATTAGTTCTGCTATGAAAAGAACAAAACAGACAAAATGAATCACTCTTCATAAAGGCCATTAAATTCATTAAATCTTTAATATATAGTTTTCTTTGAAATAGTTGTCCCAATAATTAAAAAGAACTACAGAAACTGCTATAAGTTTCCTTACAGCATTGGAACATTTTTAAATTTAATAAAAATTTCAAAATGTATACTGTTATGATATTACACTATTAAATTAAAATAGTAATTGTAGTAATCCTTAGATGACTTTGTCCAGATTTTTTTGACATTTCACATCTAAAAATTTAGCTATTAGAAGGACAGGTAACATGAAAGACAGCATAAATGAACAGTAACATATTGGGTGATTATAAATTATTAAGACATTTCAGGGAGGAATAAAAAAGAACACAGTAAAGTATTCACATGTATGTTGTTTTATTTAATAGGCCAGTTCAAGTAGTTTTATTTTCATTTTACACTTTAAATAACTTTCACATGAGCTCCATGTATAGAACATAAAATATCCAGACAGCATTCAATTTTGCACCATGTGTTACAAAAAAATTTGGTAGTTATTCCTCCAATGACTTCATTGATCTGTCTTTTTAGTTCTTCAATGTCATGAACCTTTATTGTGTATGCTCTATCTTTGACAAACCCCCCAAAAAACAAGAAATCTAGTGGTGTTGAAGTGGCCATAAATCGCAGTCAATCCAACATTCATGAAATTTTTCCTGTAGGTAGTCCTGAACAATTAAACCCTAGTGTGGAGGTGTCCCATCTTGCTGAAAGTAAACATTCAGTTGTTGGAGTTCAATTGTGATATTGCATAACCCTGCAACATGTCAAGGTATGTAGCACTAGTCATTGTAGGCTCGGCAAAGAAGAATGGTCCAATCACTTCATCTACAGCCAATGCACATAACACATTAACTTCTGGGCTATTTTGTTCTTTCTCTCAAACTTCACGAGAGTTTTATGTACCCCAAATGCTGCAATTGTGATGGTTAATGTAAATAGAAATGTGGATGGTTGCCTCATCAGAGAAGATTATATTTTTTAAGAAAGAGTTGTCTTCATTGATTTCATCAAGGATGCACACAGCAAAATCATAATGATGTAGTTTATAATGTTGTAATGCAAGCAACAACTGGATTTTGTATGCATGAAGTTTAAAGTGCTTATGCACAAACTTCATAACTGTTGATTGTAATATTCCCAATTCCAAACTCACATGATAAATTGATTTACCCAAACTTCTAGTAAAAGTTTCTCTCACTTGATCCATGTCTTCGGTGCCAGTGGTCTGCCAACCCCTTTCCTATTTTCAACACTTCCTATATCCTTAAATTGTTTATACCAATGTTTTATGGAGTCCTTACTAGGAAGAATCATGGATGTACTCTAAGCAAAAATGTCTTTGAACAGTTATCTCAGATTTATTTTCATAAATCCACAGAATGCACCACTTTCTCCTGCACAGTAGACATCTTGGTACTGAGGTTCTCTAACTTGCCATCATGGTACCATCTACATTCAGTCAAGATCAGCACAAACTCTTACAGCTACTCTATCATCTGAAATAAAACAGGGGTCACTATGTTTGTGTGTTCTTTTTTTTATTCTACCCTGAAATGTGCTCAATTTATAACCACCATGTACATTCATTTTATTACTGAATGTATTTGAATAGATTGAAAAGCTCAGCTGATTACTACTAAATTACATTCTTAGAGCTAACTGCACAAGTTACTCATTAAAATGCAAAATAACTATCTACAGAATAAATTTAATCCTGTCACAAATCTAAAAAAAAAGATATGTTCATTGCACTCATTGTATATGGTACTTTTATTCAACAGTTGGCTATCAGTCAGTTAACTGAAAGATTCTTTTTACAAAATTAAAAGACAAAGTCGTTCTAAAAATATATATTTCAGACGATTACCATTTTTACAAAGTGTTCTAGAACAAAGTACAGACAGCTGGACCTTCCTTTTTAGGCTACACAACTGCCTATATTTAAAAATTGGAATGGTAATCTTACGTCGTAAGATTTACCATTCCAATTTTAAAGAAGATTTTTTCTTAATATTTATTGGTTTTTTTGTGTTTTTAAGGAACTTTTTTAAATATAGGCAGTTGTGTAGCCTAAAAAGGAAGGTCCAGCTGTCTGTACTTTGTTCTAGAACACTTTGTAAAAATGGTAATCGTCTGAAATATATATTTTTAGAACGACTTTGTCTTTTAATTTTGTAAAAAGTAATTTATTCATCTGACGGAAATTGAAAGATTCTTACTGTGCAGTGTTACTAAGAGCAACTGTAAACAAAAAGGAAAAGCAAAAAATGAACAAGTGAAAGCATGGGGCAAATTGGATGTTGTGGAAAAATGTATAGATTGGCAGATACTGTCTACAGTATCTGAATATAAGTATTTTATAATAAAAAGTAAATTATTATTGTTATGTAAAATATGATTCACTTATCTCTGATGATAAATGTAAAATCACTGTTTTTTTTAAATCAAACTCTCTCTTAAATTTACAAGTGTTATATATTTTAGGATCAGATCTTTCTGTAAATATTCTGTCATTTTTAGGATAAGTTTCATTTAAACAATCTAAAGAAAGGCCAACTACAACAGAATCAGAATGAATGTCAGCCACCTTATTTCTTAGAAAATATGAAAATAATTTTAGTCACCCAAAATCAATCAGTTAACTTAAAATGCAATTTGTCCCAAAGATTTGTAATTGTGCAATGTGTTGAGGCTGATTCTGAGATTAAAGTGTATTTAATTAACTTAAGATTAGAACTTCTGCAACTAGTCTTTAGTTAATTACTCTCTGTATTAATAACTGAAAAGGCACCTTTGGCATCTCATTATTAAAGCAAAATAGCAGCAATTACAACCTGTAATAATTTTTCTTGTTATGCATCTATTAGAAATTATTTGCATTAACTTAATTAATAAAAGTGATAATGAGTCTTTTAAGAATGATAATAAACTATAAGATACAGAGCATCTTTTCAAGTACATTAGATTTTTATATATTAGACAGAAATTTATTAGTTATTTATTCAACCCAGCATGCTTTCTGATCTGATTTATACTATTTTGGCAATATATTTTCCCATATTTAAATTATCTGTCAATAATACTTTTTAAATCCTATTGTATTTTCTGTCAGACAAGTCTTCACTTTATTTTTCTCTCTGTACATTAATTTTGTTGAGCCTAAATCTTTAGAAATTTATAAACATTCTGTGTGTAAAGTTTTCATAGTTAATTTTATAAATATATTTACATCCTGTTTTATAAATAAAAAAGCAGGAAACCTTGTGTAATGATGCCTCCCAAAAAAAAAAATAATACAAAAAAGATATTTCCTAATAGTCTCCTGAAAATATTACCATAATCTTGACACTATTCTTAAAGAGATAAGTTTCTTTAAATATGAGCCTAAAATTGTTCTGCTCCAGTATTATTGTAGCTATCTATCTTATTAAATTAGTTACAACATAATTTTTTATTGACGTAAGATGCTTTTTATATGATTTCTTACAAGAATATTAATCTTGTGTAAGTCAATTACTTTGAATGTTAAATGACAATATGCAAACATTAAAATTACACTAATAATAAGCACATTTATTTATATACATAGTATGGGTGCTGTATAATACTAATATGAGAAAAATCAACTGATTCAGATTAAAGTGATTTTATATACAACATTTATTTACTATTATTTTCATTCAGGCATATTCATTTAATATGGAAATTATAACAGATCATTTTAACCTAACATATTAAATTCAATTAATCATGTGGTGTACAAGATTATGAATAGATTGAATATAGTCATCAATTATAAAATAAATAGTTACTTAAATAATATTTTTTATATATAACAATAAAAAATTATTTATTATTTGTAATTATTTTTTAAAACTATATTTATAAAAAACATGCTTTTATATTTTTTATATAACAGACAAATGGGAGTCAAAACTCAAGAGCTTCCTATCCTCATTTGTCATGCTATATAGTAATTAATATTTATAAATAATATCCTCATTAAAAGGTAATTTTAATTAATTTAGCAAGTACTACATTATAGTCAAACTAAATTTTTAAAATTCTTTTTTTTTCCTATATGCAATTCATATATTTGATTCAATTGCTAATTAATTTATCATTTAAATCAAACAATTATAATTTGGAATTTTTCATTTATATAATTTAAAATTATTCTTGAATGATTTTTGTTCATGTATATGCACGAATAGGTTTATTATAGCACAGAATATTAGATTAAAAATATAATATTTAAAATCAAAATAATTTTTTCTCATATTTTCAGGACAAATTTTCAGATAATCCACCATAAAATATTATATGCAAATGTATTTAATAATAAAAACTAAAACTTACTCATAATATTTAACTGCTTCATGCAGACAGCTTTTTACTTCTTCAGGAAATTCTCCTGGATCTTGATGTCCAGTTCGAGCTATATGCTTCCCTTTTGCATGATATACATTGCCTAAGTTATAGAGAGCTCTTCCTTCACCAATCTATTTCAACAAATATATACATATATTTCATTTTTTGTTCACATTTACAACTGTTATTATTTTATTAAAAACTAAATAAGATATTAGTTAAAGTAATTAGAAATCTATTTATTGCTTATGTTTTTTTTTATTAATTAAATCAAAAAATTTTAAACTATATTACTTAGAACAAATAATCATTAACAGATATAGTTTGGTCATTAATAACAATTTCATGTAATTATAGATGCACTTCATTCAATTGTTAAAGCAATTATAAAAGTTATAATTGCTTTATTAAAGTTATTTGAAAGACAAATTGAAATATATAAATACCAAATTACGTATTAAACATTATAACATTTTGATTTTTGTGTAATATATTTATAACACCAGACATTTAATAATAACAGAATAATTTACACATATCATCATAAATAATTGTTAAATATAATAATTTTAAGATGACGAAATTTAAATATAATTCTATCCTTGATCTTAATCACATTCTGGAGTAATACAATTATTAATTTTTATTGTTAATTAATAAGACTAATAGTTTCAATTAAAAATTCTAGGACAGCATTAATATGTGCAAAACAATATTATTTAGATGTTGATGTTTTCAAACTGAGAAAAATGAAGTTTTTCAAAAGTAAAACAATAAATGTAAATACAAATATTCAGAAAATATTGTGTAGCTAAGCATAATGACGATAACAAATTCAATATGCATCTTTATTAATTTTTATGCACATAAAAATTAACTTTAATACATGCTGTGTAATAGAACTAAGAAAATAAGAAAAGTTAACTTCCTAAATTATTATTTTCTATTTTATAAAATTGAGACAACAATTCTCATGTATTATGTAAAATGAAATTAAATTCTAGAAAAATGAAAATGAGTTTTGTGAAAACTAGATTAAACTACAGCTAATTTTATATTATTTTTCCAAAGGACTTAAACATTTTCAGAGATCATACTCTGCAGATATAATGAAACAACTAAGTTTTCTATTAAAAAAAAAAAAAGAAAAAGAAAGATAATTATGCAATTGAATAAAAAGTTTTTGTTATTTCTCATTAAATAATAACAACAAATGCTATTGTATATATAATCTTTTACTTCATCTCTCTTAAAAAATACATTGGCGTGAATTACATCACAATATTATTATAAAAAAAAAAATACAATACATTTTGCACTTCATAAAATATATAGTGATTTGAAATGATTTAACACTAGTTCATATCAGTTATTAGAACTGAAACTGAACAAAATCAAAACTATAAATCTTTCAGAAACCAAAATAGGTACAATGAAAATCTTAGATTTTTTCCAAACAAGATTTTTCTTGGCCATCTTAATGCAATCTTCAAAACTTTGATAATACAATAGATTTAGAAAAAAATGTATATAATATAAATATATATGAAATGTCAAGTATTTCAATGAGAATGTTCTCAAAATATCTTGAAAAATAAAATATTCTAGAATTTTATAATGTTTTTAATCCTTAAATTTTAGAATTCAAGGATCAAAATTGATCTCAACTAAAATTCTGGAATATATAATTTGTTACATTTTATTCATTGTACACAGGAAAAAATAACTTCTCAATTATTCCTACTTAAAAAGAAATATTGTTTTGTGATACAATGCAATTCATTTTAAATTTTACACTATATTTTGTGAAACAAAATATTTAAACAAAATTTGTTTCAGCAGCCTATTTTAAGTTTATGAGGGGGGAAACACTATTAAAACTAACAAAACTGCAATATCATTTTAATTTTATAAGCTTTGTGCACAAAACCAAAACTAAATATTGAATCAAACATGTATAAATTTAATAATAAATAATATGTAGTAATGATGATAATAAAACAAGTTTCACATTAATACTTAAGTTAAATATCCATAATAATATTCAATAAAGAAATGTCCAAAACAAATCTTTTAATATTAAAATTATTTTATTATTACAATATTTCCATAAATATTACATAGATTTTTTTTTGTTTGGAAAAAAAAAACTTTGTTGGAATGTTTGATAGTGATTTACGTTTTTTAACACTATTTTTATACCATGACTATTTAAAATGATTAAGCAAATAGTGACGACTTATTTGTATGTAAAAGATTATAATTTGATTATATTACTTCTCAATCATTTAAACAATTTTTTTTTATTATTCAAAGTAAAAAAATTGTATGATACACAATTCATTTGTAAGAAGATCATAAATATCCAGTAATAGTACAAATATAAAATATGTAGTGAAAAGCTAAATTTTATTATAAACCAGTATAAACAGTGGTTTATACTGCTTTATAATAAAATTTACTTATACACTGGCATAAACGGAATAAAATTTTATTTAGTTTATGCCAGTGTATAAGTAAACTTTTTAAACTCAAAATTCATAACTAAGGGTCGATTTATGCAATGGAACCTTTATCACAAATGAAGTGGTACCATACATCACTACTTTTAATTCTAGAAGGCCCATAAACATTTCCAATAAAAACTCATGTTTGATGAATTTACTTAATATAGAATATTTAATATCAAAGTCGGAAATAGAAAGAGTATGATTTTACTTGTTTTTTGACTAAAACTTTTTTATTTTTAGTGTGTCCCTATATCTCTGATGCATGGTATATAACTATGCTAGATACTGTATGCATAGCTCAAGTATAATGTTATTTTTTCAAATTATTAATATTTTATTAGTGGTATTGATTTGGCTCAAATGGAATTTTTAACAAGATAATTTACAAAACTTTAGTGATTACTTGACATATTATACAGATCCTGCTGTATACATCTCCTTTTATACAAACTATATATATTGAAAAAAAAAAGGTGTAAAAGTTAGTGCCTTAATGAAAATGACATCCTTGTTATATGTTTTCACTACAGACTACCACATTCTATATCCCCATTTCAGTTCTAGTCTACTTACAGAATATCATATTTTGGGGTGGAATTGACTTACACAGCAACTATATGTCTAAATATAAACTTTGAGCTAAAAATCTTGAAACTGGCTTATATGTTGTCATATGTGATACCTTGTGTAATATATGAGTAACATTCATCCTGTGAATCCAACAATAAAATATTTGAAGATCCACATTTAGTATGATTATATCTTTAAATTACAATTTAAAATATTAACATAGTAATATCATACATTTGTTTCTATTTATCTGTCCTAAACATAAATATTTGCTAGGAATCTGAGATATTCAATGATTTTGTCAAGACCATAAAAAAGAACTTAATGTTTATTACTTGTAAATGTTTTAGAATAACATATATGAAAACTGGTAAATAAAATTACTAGAATTTATTTACAAAATTATTAATACAAAAAATTAGTCAAAAAATTTAACATGAAAAAGTATGTTAACTAATATCAGATTTAAAAAATAGTTTCAATTATATACATTTCTGTAATCAACACAAATATTCTTTACAAATAAAATTGTCACTATATATATGTATACATCTATATATCATACACTACACTATATATTAATATATTTACTCATATAAATTTTTTTACATTTACAGAAACATTAGAATACACAGTACTTTTGAAACATTGTATCTTTAACTTCTACCATTGCTAATTTGTATAATTTTGTTCTTAATAATACAACTGATTAAACAATGAGTAAATTAAAGCAAAATTAAAATAATAGAATTTTATTTTGATAATAAAGCTGCAGATTACCAGATTAATAAACTGCATATAACTTTTCTAAAGTAACTCAAATTAATATTAAATAAATACTGTATTGACCTAATATTATGCAATATTTTTCCTAGTTTTAAAGAGGTAAAAATCTCTCTCAAACTATATTCGAGTCTCAATGTTTTCTTCAATTTCAATAACTGTCTACGGTACATATTGTACAAGGTTACCCTGATGCAAAAATTTGATGCATTGATTGTTTAACAATGCTAAATGCCAGCCAAGTTATGATCTGTAATGCTGAAGTCTACAAACTATGCATGGGAATTGTGTTTAGCATGATTGTAACTAATTGATTAAACAGATTCTTTTATCATATTCAAAGAATCAGTCAGTTTTGGTAACTTCTACAAAACATTTTATTTTGCTAACTTTTTTATTTTATTCTTAGGAGTCTTTACTAATTAATTAATTGTCAAAAATGGAAGGAAATTGAAAATTTACCATGAAATTTATTTTGTTGTAAAGTGTACATTTCTACTGTAATATATTCAATATAATTATATGCTTTAAACTTTATAAAAAATATTTTAAACAGTTTTAAGAAAAATAAGACAAGTGAAAATGAAATACAAAATTTCATTTTTGTTTTTGATAGTCATAAGACTTCAAGTACACTTTTCTGAACACATGAATATACAAGGAAGTCTACTTCCCCTGGTGTGATGTATACCCAAGGACAAAGGACAGTATCTCACTTCTGGTCTATAACTTTTATTAATTTCATTTTTATTGATATTGACAAAAAAGCAAAAAGTTACAATTTGTCACTTATAATATAGGTGTCCAACGCACATATTTCTTTTCATAAAACAATCCATTTGGAAAATTTGTTACCAACAACTTGGGATAGAATAGAAAATGATGTTCAGGGAGACTGAAGACCATGATGGCAATGAAATAGGAAATGAGAATGATGACAATAAAAATTCCGATTAAGATAAAACTGATAAACTATTGTTTCAATGACTTTTTGTAAGCAAATAAAATTGATAAAAAAAAAGGGTCAACTTATATTCAAATCTTAATTTTTTTTCAAAAACTGAGGATTCTAAAATTGGGAATCAACTTATATTTGGGCCAACATAGTAACATGGTATATTATAGCATTTATCAGTATAAAAAGGCACTTGAAATGGCAAATTGTCTATGGAGAATGGAGAATTATGACACTACTATCATAATTTAAAAGGATTAACTATTATCTAATATCTGATTTAGTCTAAATTAAACAAATTTTGGACTCTTTT